GTTTTTACTAAACCTTAGTTTGGATTGGGGAAGCTGGAAGGGAGGGAAAAAAGGGAAAGAAAGGAGAAAAAAAAAAGAGATGCCTCTTTTTTGTATTTGAATTATTAATTTTAATGGAAGGAATGAAAGATGGAAGGAGATGCAGTCCCTCACTCTTTTATTTTCAATTTTTCCAAATCTCTTCCACTCCTCTATTTAAAAGGATTCGAAAGGAGTGATTTTATATATTTATTTTTAAAAAAATATTTAAAAATAAAAAAATTCAAAATAAACCTGCTAAAAATAAACCGAGTACAAATTTTGGCAACAAAGACAGAAAACGGATAATCGACAACGTCATCAAAATTGACACTTCGCTTTACCAACCTTTTTGAGGGGTTAGACTTAAGGAAGTAACGCCGTTTTCCCATGCCGTTTTTACACCTCTTTGTAGGTCGGCTGTACCCCTTTTTGGACAGTCCTTCCAACTAAAAGAATAAAGATAAGAAAACAATCCTAATGGTATGTTTCAATAATTAAAATTTTAAAATACTATATTAAGAATCTTAAATTTGAGTCTCAGGTTAGAGGAGAAGAGATTTAGAAATAAAAAAGATTATTATTTTTTATATAACTCATAATTAAATGTATAAAAAAATAAAAATGAGATAATGATACATTACATTTTAATTTAACATATTTTATAATATATTGATTAAAAATTTATTATTTTTAAATTTATAAATTTTAATGAATGATTTAGTAAGTGTTAATAAATGTATTAAATTAAAAGATATACCAATTATTTTTTTATAAAAGTTGGGTTTAACAAACTTTAAAAATAAAATTACTTACAACCAAATTATTCTTTTATAAATTTAAAAAATTGTTGAAAAAATAATTTAACTATCAAAAAAAATTATAAAAAATTAACTAAACAAGCTTTTCAAAGAAAATTTTCTCCCCTTATTTTCTTTTAAATAAAAAGTTTATTTTATTTAAAGTCTATTTAAACCAGATCTATTCCATAGGCTCGCACTTCTTCTGTACGTATCCTTCAGTTATAAGGTGACAGGAACACGCTTCTTATAATTTTTCTTACAAATGGCCACCTATTTTTCTTTGATGATGCACATCTAGATGGCAAGAAAAAATAGAGTATTGAACATCTAGAATACCTTCGGTTCTAAGGAGACAGGAATATGCTACTATGATTCAAGCAAAAGCTTATAATATTATGAACGATATGCTGATTTAAGTGGAAAGAGTTCAATTCTTTTGAAATAAAATTTGAATTTATATATATGAATAGAAGAATAAATACTAAAAAAATTTTTTAATGGGATCTGATGTGATTTAATTTTAAATTAATCAAGATATAATATGATTATTAAATAATAAAATATTAATTAAAAAAACTTATAATATTTCTTACAAATTGCTAATTTGCTACCTATTTTTCTTTGACGATTCAGCATCAAGTTGGCGAAAAAAATTGAGTATTGAACATCTAGATTACCATGATCTCATCGTTGAGGATTCAACGCCTAGAAAATGATGCATCACAATCACATCCCGTGTGCAAAAGGTCTCGGAAGTTGACTACCACAAGTCGCCTACCTCTCCTACCCAGCAGCTCAGCAACCACTTTCTTTCGAGTGCATCATCTAGATGGTCAGTTTCGGACTTTTGGTCCATCTGTCTTGCATTTGTTTTTACCTTTTTTTTTCTCCATGCCCTTTGTCTCATATTTGAATTTAAAAATGGTTTCTAAAATTACCCAAAAATAAATTAAAGCTAAATTTGAAACCAGTACTAACAATATTCATCAGCAGTCACCATCTTCTAGATAAAGACTTGCCTTTTTGGGCTTTTTGGGTGATTTCTTCATCACCAAAGACCCATATTTCTTTTGGGGGTCCTCCACATGCCTCATGACACCAAGAATGCCACAGTAGTCAAAGAAAAATTGGTGCTCAACTATACAGTAGTTAGCATCACGTACGGGCATCGAATGCCTGCATATGTGCCGTGGCACGATTTCACTACTAAATTCAATCAATAAAATATTTAAACCATTTCATGGTAACTCATTTTCTTCCCTTTTTTTTTTTTTTAGTATCATGGTAATTCATTTTCTAATTCAAATATATACTTTTAACTTTATAAATTTTAATAAAAAATAATTTAAAAATTAGTAAACTAAAGTAAAATCTAACTAAGATATGAGGTATAAAAATAATTAATTTTAAATTTGTTTAACAATAAAAAAATAAATTTTAATAAAAAATAATTAAAAAATTAGTAAACTAAAGTAAAATCTAACTAAGATATGAGGTATAAAAATGTCTAACTTTACCATAACTAATTAGTATAAATTGTAAATTATTATTATACTTCCAAAATATTTACTTCTTATATGATAATAGATTTTTTGTTGTATTCAATATATTTTTTAAAGTTATATTAAATATATCTTTACCTATTAATTTATTATTTTTTGTGAATTTTAATAAATAAAAGTATATTATAATTTGTGAAATTTTTTAACATACATACATAAA